AAAAAAAAATAGGAGCCTATATACCAACATCGTTTTTTTTACTCAGATTGCCATATACCATAGGATCCATATGTTGCAAGGTGTGTGGCTGATAACATGGTGAAGAGTGTCTGGCTGTAGATGTGATATTATCAAGATGGTTTAAGTATTTCAATTTCTTATTTTAGTTTGTATTCTAATGTATAATACCATAACTATTCAAACAAGTACATGTGTACTGTGTTCTTGCATTGTTATAATAGTACAAATGTAGTTTATGAATTTATTATAACAGAATAAATTGTTTCTGTTTATTACTGATTACATGTTTCATATATAGCATTTGTGACTAAGCAACAATGTGAATGAACAAATTATACAGAGCTGTTGTTGTTGCGTAATGTAAAAATCATTTAACCAAACCCACAGCATAATTCTTTCCACATGTCTTTGCGAGGAGTCGTCACCTGTGCATGCGTCAGATGGCCATAGCGTGTCATTGTCTTTCCATAAGCCTGTGCGTTTTTAGCGCGTGTTGTCATCATCACTTGAGACTCAATTCTGATGTGTTCGCAGGTGACGACCCTCTTACTTTAAGATGAAATTTGGTCCAAGATTCACAAATAGATTATTGAATACATGTTTCTACACATTTACAAAATGTTGCTGAGAACAATTGGGCATTCAAAGCGTTTTAAACATTTCAGTTTATTCTGCCTTCTGGAAGTACTCTAGGTGGTTGACTTGGCAACATTGGTTATAGAGGACATTTCTTGTAACCATCTTTTAATAAACAACATACAACATTACCTCTTTGAACAGCTGATTTCATTTCCCTTGAAAAATGTATTTTATCGCCGTCAGAGGTTTGCTGGGACATTGAGGACTCTCAAGAAGGTAATGGAATAGTCGAGTATCAAAACTCGGAAAGCAAAAGTGGTTCCTTAGAAGGTCATAGTAACATCATTGATTTGATCAGGCTTCTTTCCAGCAAATGCAAGTAATTCTCAAATCTCCCAAAACATGATCAGTCTGGGGAAAATAATGCCATTGTTGTATTTATTTTTAAAACGGTTCAAAAGTTCTGTTTTCTTGATTATACTTGTAGAAGACATATCATATGAATGGTGGTAGCCTAGAATTTATGCCTACTGTTTTGTCGTGTACAGTTCTAGCCTTAAATTCCGGTAGGGGTAGCCTAGAATCTATGCCTACTGTTTTGTCGTGTACAGTTCTAGCCTTAAATGGGGGTAGCCTAGAATCTATACCTACTATTTTGTCGTGTACAGTTCTAGCCTTAAATTCCGGTAGGGGTAGCCTAGAATCTATACCTACTATTTTGTCGTGTACAGTTCTAGCCTTAAATACCGGTAGGGGTAGCCTAGAATCTATGCCTACTATTTTGTCGTGTACAGTTCTAGCCTTAAATACCGGTAGGGGTAGCCTAGAATCTATACCTACTATTTTGTCATGTACAGTTCTAGCCTTAAAATACCGGTAGGGGTAGCCTAGAATCTATGCCTACTGTTTTGTCATGTACAGTTCTAGCCTTAAATACCGGTAGGGGTAGCCTAGAATCTATGCCTACTGTTTTGTCATGTACAGTCCTAGACTTGAATTGTGGTGGCTTACAATGAATCTATGCCTGCTATGTTACCGTGTACAGTTCGAGCCTTGAATAGGGGTAGTCTAGAATCTATGTTGTCCTGTACAATTCTGGGCTTGGTAGCCTTGAACCTATGTCTGGTATGTTGTCATGTACTAGGCTTGAAGAGTGGTTGCCTAGAGTATACCAGTATGTATTTCCATTGTCTATCAGCTCAATTATAACTGCTTAGAATCGGGGCATGGTTTTCTTATCTAATTATTCACAAGGAAATATATATTCAAACAATCATAACAAAGGTAAGTATTTACACATTATACATTGAATCTGGGCTACAATATTGGAATGCATTCAAACACATGTTCAAATTGTGTTCAACTTGAGCATACTGCACATAGACGCATACTGCACATATACGCAATGCATTATGGGAGACTATTTCATTGTACATCATGTGAAAACTATTATACTGGAAACTCACAAAATTATATGACAATTCTTTTTAAATCTTTTTATGAAATTATGATTTATGTTATATTTTTATCTCATATCAATGAGCAAAATTGAGATATATCTCTCCATAGCAATTGTCTGGTGACCTTGATTTTTTTTTATTTATATTTTCACTATTATAGAATGAACCCATAACAATGTACCGGTAAGTACATTTATGATGAACTGGGCATATAACCTCAAATTCAGCTAAAACCTTGTTAATTTGTAATCAAACAATGCATTATAATTATTCACTGGATTACATTTTCACTTATTTCGCTGATACCTATTTGTGCTAAATTAAAACCAATAATCTTAAAATTGAACAAAAGAATGTTTCTTTCATGAACCCGTGAATTTAAAACTTGTATATGCAACCTTGTACATCCTTAAAAATAACATGCAGTGAATATTTGTTTTTCTGATGTAACTCTTTAATAGACCACCAAGCAAAATTACAGTATTTATATCCTGTTATCAAATTATATCTCGTGCAAAAATAGTAAGAATAACAACCTGTTAGGAAAGTGCGCCACCAAGTGTCAGAACAAGGCAAGAACCCAGTGATCATTTTATAAATTCAGGTATCACTTAGTAAACATCCAAAATGTAGAATTAATTTTGTTGCCACATTTCAAGAGTGAGTAAATTTATCGTCAAAATGTGTCCTAAATAGTTTGAATTGGGTTGAAGTTTTGAAAACCCAAGTTTTTCACTTTACTTGTACTTGAACCTCTGCATGCGTCCTGTAAGATAAAACAAATAAAATATTAATTCATCAAAAATTTACAAAATACATTTTTTTCATATTTTAATGAAAAAAAGGAAAAGGTGTCACAGGTCAAATGTACCAAGGTACAAGGAATATTGAAGTTAAATGCATGAATGAACTGATCATGATATAGCAGGTCAAAGGTTGTAGTCTGTCTGCATACCTTAATGTTGGATTTCTTCAAGGTGGGTTCCATGCATGCAGAGGTCAACGATTCTTGCACAAGTCACACTTCAATACTGGATTTGGGATGAAATTCCTTCAAGGCAAAGGTATAACCATGCATGGTTTGTTTTAGTCATAACAGATGTTCATGCTTCAGGTAGGACTCTGGATTTGTGGTGCAACATACTTGAAGTGTGTGCCAATGTATTAATGATGTTAACTTATGTGTAAATCTTACAATGGAATTTGATACTCCCCCCTAGACTAGGGTAATATGGAAAATGAAATAAATAAATATTGCGGTGAAAGACAATAGTTTATAATCACATCCTTGAAGTCAATTTTATGTTGAAATATTTCAAAATATTCGAAATCAGAAATAACATTGACATTTTACGTTAGTATTATATGTATTGTACTTTATTACTAACGTTTTATTGCTGTCAACCTATGGGAACTATTTCTAAGGATGCAATACATTCATTAATATTATGTTGATTATTTATTTCTTTTTTGGAAATGATATGAAATTTTCAATCAAAGGTGGATGGGTTTGATGAAATTTTGCCTTTCAAATGATTTTTATTTTACTAAATGTCTAAAATTACACATGCAGGCTACTGACTGAAAGTCCGTTCGAGACATAAGATGCACCATGGGTCCAGCACTTCCATGCTATAGGGTTTCATTAATAAATTAGCGATGGCTTGAATTCTACATAAAATATGTCATCTATTTACTTGCCACACTAACATGAGCTAACATCATTGAAATGATAACTTTTCCCTCAAGTTGACAATGCTGCTTAATAAATAGTCACACTATTAGTCACTTAATAAATTATTAGTCACTTAATAGTCACACAAATAGTCACATGCATCTCTCATTGGTGGAGAATGGGAATGGGTATAGGTACAGGGGTCAAGGGTCAAGAACACACAAGGAAAGATTTATGAAAAAAAAATACACTTCATTTATTTGACACTTGATACAGGTGGACCGTGTCGGTGTTTGGTGAATCATTACACAAATTCTGTCATCACTGATTGAAAAATATGACTAATCCTGAATATTTGTTTGAATTAGTTTTGAATTTTTGTGCCCTAAAATTATCACTAAATAACAGTGACTTATTAAAATGCATGAACGGCATATTAATAGTAAATATCATTTTTTTCAAAGCAATATTCAAGTTTAGTCATTTTATTACTCTGATTTTTATCCAGGTCGTATTCTTTGAAAACATGGCACTGGTGTAAAGTATGGGTCACATAAATCATCTCAATTTTAACAAAATTACAATCGGTGATTCATTCACAACAGTTTCTTGAGTAATTCAAAATGGCGTCCCAATAGTAAGGTAACTACCTCTATATCTTTATTCTACACCAATGCTGAATATGACCCAGAATGTATTTGCCAGAATTGGTGTGACAGGTGAGAAGTGTCCACACTTGTAATATGTAATTTATTTTTAGCTCATACACCCATATTGAAAACATAATACTGAAAACCACTTCTTAAAATTAAAAAAAACACAGTAATAACTAACACATTGTATTAGAAGAAAACAACTTGTGGCACAACAACACTTACAAATAAAAGAAGCCCACATTACCAATTATTTTCATTTTGAACATTGAACAAACTTGTTTTACATTGGAACTATTTTATTTTAATATTTATACAAGTTTTGTTCATCGGAAAGTAAACTCCAATTACCTGAAGACTTTGTACTATTATTACAACTGCCGATTGTAATATGATTACACATTATTTGATACAGTTACAGACTAGTGCAGGCTACAACTGCTAACGGATTCAGCTTGTAGTATAGGTACAAATACAATCTTTTATGTTTTCAAAATTGAAATACAAATTATTCATAAATTTTGAAATGATAATTTGGCGGGAACTATGAAGTAACTATCTGCAATTTATGCATGTCTATTTTTTTTGCATGTGATGACAAAAATGCCTGATATAATGTCTGGAAAGAATATGAAGGTTTGTGGAAAGTGGATTAATATATTGTAAAACCATTTATTTTCACTATTTTGTTTTGAGTGATTTCATCCGCTTTTAAAGTTTACAAACTTGAGTTCTATGGATTTAATTTAGCGAATTTCACTTAGGTTGTAGTATAGATGTATATCATTTCCTATTTCTGTGCAATGCAACATTCCACTTAAGAAATAAATTTTACTTTGATTTGATCAAAATAGTCTCAAATATCGATGACGGCCAAACACTAACGAATTGCCTTCTTTCAGGGGGGATTAATTTGCTTTTTGGTGACATTCCATGGAATATGAATTGTGAGTTGGGGACATTGTTTTTAAAGAGGTACGAACATTTCTTAAACATCTTTGTAAACACAGAAATGAAAGTAGTATAAATTCACCATGAGATCTATTGTCAATTTTACTTTATTTTTATTCAGTTTCAGATATGTATGTTTTTTTCGTTTCTTCTTCTATTTTGTTGCCGTTTTAAATATTTAAATATTATTATTATTATTAGAGGGCGCTCTTTATTGTAATATCAAAGTGAGGTTTGGGGTATAGAACTACCAAATTGCAGAGTTTGTCAAGAACCCTGGCTATTAGTTTTTCTATTATAATTCCGGTAATTTTGATTTTTTTCAGCAATGTATGATGTGTTGCAATTATGATGGGCAGTGTAAAATCTATCGGTGCATTAGTGGCAACTTGAACAAAACAACATAAAAAGCTTATCTTTCATATTTTTGTTTTTTGCTCAGTTTATACAATTCTATTTAAAGATTACGACCCTCAAAGCGTCATTTGACATATATGGACGGAAATCTTGCAGAAACAGATTCAAGTTTGTCAAGTTGACACCAAGGGTCACAAAGCTAATTTTGGCATAGTAATATTAGTTTTAATACCAGTAAATAAAAAACACTTTCAATTGGTAAATGTACACACAAATAAAACTGTTGGCTATTATATTATCTACTGTAAATAAATTTATTGAAACACCTTCTCAACTATGCACCAAAATGAAATATTTTTTTTATTTCAAAACTAAATCACATGATCCTTGACCCTTAAAATGTATGTTACTGATTGAGTAATTTGGCTTGTTTTCAACCTGTATTTGGCTAATACGGTTAACATTTTGGCACCGAAAGAAGTAAATTTTAGTATTTCAAAAGACTGAATAATACCAGTGTGTTACTATGTACTATAAAGGTAATCTATTACAACTGATTTTTATTTAGTATTAATAATTGTAATTGTAAACATATTCATTCATCAAGTTTCAAAGCAATATAAGTTTGTTTTGGACGGATATTTGATATTTTGAAGCAATATAAATGGAAGTATTTCCAACTAATGGAGAACATTTAAATTTTCAAAATCTGACCTAGGTAGTTACTTCCTGCATATTTTGATGCATATTCAAATTCTGGATGACGAAGAATGTTATAACATCTTGCTTTATAGACAGGTGCAATGCAGATGTGATTAAGTTTTAATTTGATAAATTAGTCTTTGCAGAGATAGTGATTAACATTTTAGCTTACCAAATATTTGTGTGTAATTATTTGAGAAAGTAATATCGATAAGCAAACTTATTTCATTGTTTTAAGGTTATAATTAATTTGGTGGAACGTTCCTTGGACGGAATATCTATTCAGCTTACAGCAAAAGTTTCTGGCACCTGTTGAATTATTAAATTAGGTGCCAAAATCTTTAATGGTAAATGCTGGTTTTGTTAATTTGACATAAAAACAAACAAAAATTAACACTTCACATCGCTGCTCACTCAAAAAACAATATTGCAAATACACAAACAGCGGTAATGGCATAAATATGTTCACTGGATGAAAATATACGTTACAGACTTGTTTATTGAACTTTGGCAGTTAATTTGTGAGTTATCACAACAAAGATAAAGTCCTCTGTAGTTTAGTTATGTTTAGCCATTAACCCCTCTGTGTATTCCAGTATAAGCTGTCATATACGTATTATGTTGCTGCCGGACCTGTTACAATTTTCTTTGTTCTTATTTTCCTTGGAATTGGGTTTGCTAATTCGGCAATTCTTGGAGTCGCTCTTGCGCTTCTGGCCGAGGGCGTAACCTTGTAGGGATCATAGTTGTCAACCTTTCCACGACTTTTAGGACGAGCTAGCTGCTGGAGTCGTAATGTTGCCAATGCCTTCATTGCATTCTCTGAGACTGGCCACTGTACGTACTTCTCTGGCTGGTACGACAAATGTGCATTCTTCGGCTCAGCGAGCTGTTCCACTCGCTCACTACATCGGGCATTTTTCGCACTGCTGCTTATTTCTGGGTCCCACTCAACATAGTCCCATTCACGACTGGCTCGTATTTTCAATTCTGCATACACTTTGGGTTCTGCTAATTTTTGTAATCTCCCAGATGCTTGTGCACTTTTTGCTGAATCGCTCACTCTGGTTTCTACCGCCCTCTCTGGTTTATAATCTGGATGCTTTTGTTTAGGGCTGGCCAGTGTTTCAACTCTTTCAGATGCTGACGCTTTCTGTGCAGATCTACTTACAGGCCAAATTGGAGTTGGCCTATTGGAAAAAAACAGAATAGTTTAATTATTATGTACATCTATTATGTATACAAATGCATGCAGTAATCACACATATGGCTCTCAGTCACAGCAGTGTGTATGGAATTTTATTGACGCAATCTGCTACTAGCATATGATAACAGTTACGTTCCAGACCAGATATTAGTCAAGGATTTTACTTTTCTTTGACAGATTTTGTAATAAAATATTGTGAGGAGCAAAGGAATAGTGTCTCTCCTCTTAATACATTGTACTCATTCCACACTCTACACACAACTTTTTGTACATGCTTCTGTGCCCTCAATGTGTGGTGTGTGACAAAATTGAAAAAAAAAAATGAATTAAGATTTAATTAAATTTTCATTGAAAAACATAAAATGTTGGCAGATTGCAAACTAACCTGTCTCCTTGCCATCCGTTATCAACATGTTTAGAATTGGCCAAGAACTGCTGCCTTGGGGTTAATGCTGAAAAGCAAGAAAAAAAATCAAGTTTGATCATAAATAAATACATAAATAAAACTGAATAGTTACTGGGTAACTTATAATATTTTACTTGTCAATTCACTACATTTTCAGTGTGTGACATAAATTCAGTGGACATTGGATTCTGTGATATCAGATTAATGAAGACTCTGTAGGCCAGACCAGATAATTTACTTGTATTTAGCACATGTACTCAGTTACTACTGTTCAACCAAGAACCAGTCCATTGCATCATATACTGATTTCTCTACATTATGTGTGACACGTTGCCATTTAATATCACAGAAAGTGATTTCAAACTGTTCCTATACACCTAGGAAGTAATATATCAATATGATTTGAGTTGTATATACAATTTTTTTTTATTAGATACAAGTATGTATTTACAATGTCCCTCATTATACTATTACACTGAAAGGTGTTGAGAAATTAGTTGTTAGAGTGCACCATGTTTCCAAATTGTTTGTGCTTGATATTTGCCTGTATCAATATACTGTGGAATACTTTATTTTCGCTGGAATTAATTTTCACTGAAAAGGTTTTTTGGGCGTTTTGTTTGGAATTTATTTTCACTGATTTTTGATAAGTGTAATGTGAAATATAGGAAAAAAAGTATATTCGCTGGATTTTATTTTCACCAAAACATCCCTTCAGCGAAAATAGGGAAAATAAATTCCAATCGAAAATAAAATATTCTACAGTATATCATTCATGAAATGTTCATCCTTGTGTACAAATCATAATTTTAAACCATTCTGTATTAGGATCAGAAAAACAGTTTTGAAGTGAAGACGAAAAAACATCTTTCTTTCCATATACATGTACTTTTAAATCAGGTCAAAATATAGATGATGCTATACTTAACTCTGAGGGTGCTAATTATATTATTTTTTATTTGAAAATATTTAAGGTCTCTAGTGGAATAATTATGGCCATATTTGAAATATACAAGTTGCTTTAACCAACTAAGAACTTTAACTCCTACAAATATTGAATAAGCTACTGATTTGACATGTCCAGGAAACATTTTTCACGAGTATCTTTCCAAAGATTTCCTATCCTATTCTATCTTTTAGACTGACATAGTAACTGAAAAATGGTTTAAATTTTGAAAAAACCAAATCAATTTCAACACTCATCCAGTAATAATTAAAATCTCTTGATTACAAGTTGATCCTCAATTAACAGTTCTGTTTTCTCATTGAATTTTAAGTTCTGAAAGTCTATTTCTTCCGTATTTAACCTGGGAAAATGCACATCTCTGTCGTTCGCATGAAAATAGATAACACGTTTGTGACTGTTTAAGCTCTCATTTTCTGGCTACTATTTACAGGGGCAACCATCTCCTACTAAAATAGCCAACCAATAGTTAGTGTTGCAGTGATTTTCGTACAAAGCTTCACTTTCAAATGTTCTCTTAACATAATAGTAGATATCAGACTGCAAAGGTTTAGAAAGAAAGCTATTGTTTAACCATTGAAAAGTGAAATAATAGACAGACAGTGGGGAAACTCAAAATGGGTTGGGTTTACATGTGCATTACTGTAAATAATCCAAAAATTGGTCACCTATCATTCCATATTGTTGTACACATGAAAAGCTTTACAAACAAGGTTACCACTGGTCATCTGACAATGGACTGAAGTTCCAAATTGATGTGTTGGTACACTTAGTTGGATGTGATCAAAAAGAGCATTGTGAATCATCAATGTCAAGTGGAATCTATTTGAGATGAGATTTTGTAAAGCCTTAATGACCTGGAATTATTGACAGTGATCATCTTGCAGCACGGCTTCATTTGTTTCTTTTTTTGTTTGCCTTTAGAAACTGACAAATGTTTTATTTAAAAAAAAAACTTTTCAACTAGTGCGTTTGAATACAAAATGAATAAAATTAAAAGGAATGCTTCTTAGAGTGCCTAATTTCATTGAGAAATCTGAGCATGTTACTGGGAAGATTTCATGAAAATAATTCACAAAAGGGGACATTAATAATTACCTTGGGTTCATGTTTGATCACCAAATAAAATTTATAAATGCTGTAATTGTGCATGCTTGACAGAGCAAAACTAAGGGGTTGGGCTTATAATAGAGCAAATATGGTATAGCTACCGTGAAAACTCTAAAATTTCAGCCACTTTTAAATAATTTTCTTTTGAAAATGAACAGGTTTTTAGAATACAAAATAACGATAAATTTTTCGACCAGTCAAATTTTTTAGAGTAAAAATTCAACAAATATAAAAGTTGGGTTATATACAGTTAAAGAAATAGAATAGTTATAGAAAGTCATGTCTCTAAACAAATTTGAGTAAAAATATGTGAGCAAAATTTTGGAGGTCAATAAATTACAAAAATTCAACAAATAATTAGGTGGTTGAATTTTTAGAGCAGGTGAAATTTTAGAGTTTTTGCGGTATTACTAAAATTTTGCATTTGATCCATGAGGTTATTTGTGTTGCTTACTTGATCCCAACAGTGCAAACATTTGTTCAAAGCAAGTGTACCACAGAAGTTTTTCTACAAATGAATTGTTTGAATACTGCTGTGTGTACAAGGCAAATAAAAATTTGGCAGTGTCACTCGGTATAGAACACAATAAAGTAAAAACTTTATTTCAGGCTGATCCTTAAAATTCAAATTTTGGCAGGAATTATTTCTAGTTTCATGTACAATATAAATGAACAGCGAAAAATCAACATTTTATCTGGACCAGGCAAAGGTTCTTAGCTTACATGCATCAAGTTACATGTAAAGAGCTTGGTGATGAAAACATTTCAGTTGTGAATGGCAATTTGTTATCCAAAACCACCAGGTGAAATGAATACTTTTTGTATCTTTTTAAATCGGCGGCAACCAAATGTTTGTTTTGATTTTCAAGTTCCATCTCAGCAGTCACAGGTGGCTTTCAACAACCACACTTCTCAATAGAAACATCTACCCTTTGAGACACCGGAGTAGAAATGTTGAGGAAGGAAGCTAAAAACACTCATAATTTTTATTAACAGACTTGTTGCTTAGCAACATGGTCATTGTTGACTTATACATTATTTAGGAAGTAAATGTATTTCTTTGAAATATAAAATCCAGAACAGTAAATGCATGATTATTATATTCGTCTTATAAATATTTTATAATTCACTACGTAATGTTTACAGTTAATGACTTTGCAACACCTCTCTATCTTTTATGTGTGGAAGCTGATAACCCAAATTGAATGATGATTTGAACTTGACAGTACTATCTGTAACAATGCAGCCAACTCAGGAGCCAATCAGCTATAGCCTTGTAGTTAAAATGGGGAGCCAATCAGCTATGACCTTACAATGACAATTTCAGTTTTAAATACCCCAAGAATGTTCCTTGTGTAATTAGGTGTTCATATGCAAGAGATTTTTCTACGCAAAAAATGACAAATTCTGTCAAAATTTGTTAGAGGTTGGCTCAATGTTGCCCAGACTAATCGTTTGGCTATGAAAGTTTAGTTTTTTTTCCTAATTTGTAGGAATCTGAAAAAACAATTCCTCAACCTGTCTCTTTAGTTTCATGCTATATTCAAGATGGTGGTCACCATATAATAGTAATAAATATTGGTAAATTAGTCACATTTATTTTATTATCACTTGTACGCCAGCTGACTGTGGGGTTGCAGATATGGAGACTAAATAAGAACTCTGTTCTCAGTGGAACAAGTCACTTCATTATCACTTTAAGCCGCGTTGAATGAAAGGTGGCCATTATAAGAGTCTCGGCAACCTATGAAATCGCAAAAGGTGGTTGTAATGTATGTTATTCAAATTATTATTTAGCACCATGCTAAAAACTGTAGCATATGTTACTAAAAGGTGTGTAACTATGACATCCAAATTTGTGGCCTGCTTAGAGCAATAATGGTATGCGACTGAGATGTACAAGATTCACTAATCATATTAGATATGTACACGCATTTATTTTAAATCCTACCTTTAACTGAACTCAGAAAGTTTATGAGCGAGTTAATCCCGCATACACAATAGTTCTGAACCACCGACTGAGATTTTCGATCAGTCACTTATAAATGCTACTTTGGGAAAACAGTAAGGTTGGCATGCAGTTGTGATTGTTGATGGGTGAGGTTGGTGCCGAGTCGCGCATTAATTTGCCATTATATACCTACACCACAATATACAGACGGGAACAATTCAGTGAACACTAACAATTAAACTGACAGTTGCCCTATGATTATCTGTTATGCATCTGATACTGATTAGTTTTTTACACAAACCTTGCTAGCTTGATGTTAATTGTATTCTCATTTCTCAGTACTTCGTATATCGTCAATAAAAGTTAATATTTATCTCACATACCTACTACAGTGTATAGACTATCACGGATGGCTTCCTGTCACCTGGACAGTCTAAGTAGTATGTATTAAATACTGGAGTGCTGCTATGGATACACTTGTTGTTGTTCAGACGCAAACTTTTACTAACTCCCACTTTAAGGAGGGGAGATATCATTGAGAATATTGTCAATGATACCGTGTAAACATTGTCAATGTGTGTGTTTTCACTGTGAGAAATTTTGATATGTGCCTTTCAAAGTATAAAATAATTTTATTGAATTTTAGTCACCAAAAACTTATTCCCGCCAAAAGAATCGTAATGCAATTTTTATTTTTACAAAATTCAAGGTTTTACTTGATTCATAAAAATTTTAATTAAATTTGAGATTAGATATAAACTCCATTTTAGATTTTCCTTAAATAATGGGAGTTAGAAAATGTTTGATACCAATCATCCATGCATTGTCAACATTTCCTGATGAACACACTGAAATTCTAATTCAATTCTTTCTTTCAAAAAAAAAAAAACAGTTTTGTGATGCATTTTTAAAGATGTACATGTACATTATTATTATATTTACATAAATAGACTACTGTGAAATACTTTATTTTAGCTGGAATTAATTTTCGCTGAAAAGGCATTTTGGGTGTTTTGTATGG